CACTTGTATCATTTTTGCCACTTATTGCATCATCAACTTTCTTGCTCAATTCTTCCTTTATCTTACTCATCTCATCTTGCATCTTTTTCATTTCATCTTGAAATAGCTTGGCTTGAGCAGCCACCAACTCTTCAGCTATTTTCTTGGCCATCTCAGTGGCAACGGCTTGCATCTTCTCGGACTCCGACATTGCTTCTTCTCACGTGGTGAAACGCAAAGAGAAGACCTTGCTCTAATACCAATTGAAAAGGATCTAACAATGCCTAGAGGGGGGGTGAATAGGCATATCTAAAAATTTACTGCAAATGCTAAGTTCAATTCTGTCAGTCACTGTCGGAAGTCCCGACGTTTGGGTCGGAACTCCCGACGTTGTCAGAAGTTCCGACACAAACGTCAGCAGTTCCGACGCCTACGTGAACTACAAAAGCAGTGCCAAATTTAACTTTGTGGATAAATAAACTTACAACCTCACTTCCTAGTTGTTTGGTGAAGATGTTGGGTCACTCCCTTGACGCCGTAATGCCTCCAAACCGTAGATCGAGTCCAAACCCTAAAATAGAAGATTGGGAGAGAAAGAGACAAGCACATACAAGAAATCTCTAGCAATCACAACAACAAGCACACGGGACACAAAGATTTATCCCGAGGTTCGGCAACCCCACTAAGGAGCTCCTACATCCTCGTTGTTGAGGTGACCACCAAGGTCAGAGTCTTTTCCACCTCCTTGCCTCTCTCAAAGCGACCACAGAGGTCACTTGAGCTTTCCACTAAGAAATCAAGGGGTAATACAAACTTCCAAAGGCTCTTCCACAAGATGGAAGCTCTTGGGCAACGCCTAGCCAGCTAGGGGCAAAGCCCCAAGAGTAATAGACGCAAAATCAACCGGCTTGACGAAGAAATCAAGTGCTCAACCTTTCCAAAGTGATGCCCTTACTTAATCCACTCTCCTTTCACTCAAACCCTAAGGGAATCGAAGATTAGAGCAAAGGGGGGAAGGAGAAGGGTGCTTTAGTTGCTTGGGAGCTGTTGAGCACGAAGTGGGTCAGCTGTAAAATGAGTCCATAACGGTTAGAAGAGGAGAGAAGTATTTATACTCCAAGTGAAAATCCAACCGTTCAGATCTACGTCGGAAGTTCCGACGCAGATCTCGGGACTTCCGACGTTAACAGAAAACACTGTACACAAAAGAGTCGGAAGTCAGCGCGTGCAAGTCAGTATCGGAACTTCCGATGAATGTTGGGACTTTCGACGAGCACAGTTAAACAAAATAGCCAGCACCTTGGATACCGGGACTCCTGGCCTGAGTCAAGTCAGTGTCGGAACTCCCGGTAAACATCGGGACTTCCGACGGTCGGAACTTCCGACGAACGTCGGGACTTCCGACGGGCACAGACAGTCAGCCAGTCAGAAGCGTAGGTGTTGGGACTCCTGGCTTAGGTCAGGACTTCCGACCGTCAGAAGTTCTGACTTACGTCGGGACTTCCGACGCTGACAGTCACAGAAAAAATATTCTATATGCTCGTGAAGTGCTAGAGTGTCCCATTTTTTATTGTATTATTATGTTTGAGCACTCTATCTTCCTCAGACCAAATAACTTTGCATCCCTCTTTATAGTACGGCGGATCCTAAACTCAAAAACAAAATTAAAACCTTTGGATAGTGTTTTGAGTTCGTCCGCCTTTTCAACTTCAAGAATTGAGGGATACCATTTCATCTCTATCAACTCTTTGAATCTTTCATGGGACTAATAGCTGCGACATATTTCATTAAGATCATATTAGTCCATAATTTGGATGTCATCAATACACCAAAACCCACATAGGGGGCAAATGCACTTTCATTTATACAATTAGCAACATCTAGGCACAAGAAAATTTTCAACAAAGCTCAAATTTAAATTAGACTCAAAAGCTATATATATATCGTGATATTTATTTATGGATTTTATTTTATTTATAAAAGTTGCTTTTCCTGCTTAATCTAATAGAACAAACCGTTCACTATCTATTGGCTAGAATTGTCGTTCGACATTCCTAAATATCTTTACGCACTGAGTAATTTAACTTGGGCGTTTATTTGAGTCCACAAAACTAAGTCACACAGGATTCACTTATCACATCAAGTATGTTTTAAATCAAAAATTTGAGAAAATCGTTTCGAAAATTTTTCTTAAGCCTAAATCGCGGTGCTAAACAAGATCGTAACACCAGGGTGTTACAACTTGTCAGCTTTGTGGGGGAAGAGAGAAACATGGAGGGGATAGGATGAGGGGCTCCTACGTCTAGGGGTTCACGAGAGAATCAGAGCCTCTCATCCATCGGGGTCCAGATAGGGGTTCAGTTGGAGAGCAAATTTTATGTTTTGGTCTCTCCAAATAGGATGGGGCTTCAGTTAGGAGTTTGGTTAAAATTGCTCTAAAACTCTCACACGCCGCTAATTGGAGTGTTTATGATGCCATAGCCAATAAATGCACGCTAATTGTCCACCAAACTCACATGCGCCCAAGAATTGGCTTTGCTACAGTGCTACTATTCAGCTACTCCTTCCGCTCTCTCGAATTAAATCAACTTCTAGAGTTGTTCTAAGTTATTTTTAAGTCTGGCCAATTTTATATAAAAGAGTACTAGCATCTGTGACACTAAAAAAATATAGTACACCCTCCGTCCAAAAAAATTGGATGTTCAAGGATTTCTTAGACGAATTAGTAGAGGAGAGAAATGACTCTAATACTCCCGTTTTGTTACAGGAAATTTCCTAAAAATGAGAGACATAACGATTAAGTTTTCCAATTAAAGTGTGTTGCAGGAAGGCATGCAGAGAAAGTGCCTATCCAATACCAAGATCATCAAATTTTTGGTATATTTTCTAAATCTATCAAAACAAACTTTGGGAGAGATAGAGTATAAAAATATATTGCATTTTGTATAAAAATATATTGCATTTTGTATGTGGCTATACTAATTTGTGTTATAAATATTAGTCTTTTTCTGCAAAGTTAATTAAACATAAATTTTTTGACTTAGAACATTTGTAGAAATTAATTTATTCTGGGATGGAAAGAGTACTCCCCGTTCCAAAACAAGTGTCGTTTTCGTTTCTCGAGGAGTCAAATGTTTTTAACTTTGACCAAACATATACAAGAAATATTAATATTTATAATATATAATTAGTATCATTAGATTATCGTTGAATTTATTTTTATAATAAACTTATTTAAAGATACAAATGATGTTAATTTCTACAAATTTAGTCAAACTTAAGAATGTTTAACTGGCACGACACTTATTTTGGGATGGAGGAAGTACTGTTTATTATGTCATGTCCACTAGCTGTGTGCATAGTTATTAGGACCGGACCGAAAATTGAACTGACGAAGGTCTCGGTTCACTGTTCAATTGGTTCAACCGTTTCAATATGGTTCAAATAGCACGTGATCTATACCACAAACACAAGCATGTATCTAGCTCTCAGTGGTGAAGTTTCTCCTTTCCAGAGCTGAAGTGGGGGTTTCGAATCTCCTTCCCTACATTTAGACATCCTTTTTCACTATTTTCTCCACCCCTCCCCTGGACCACATGTCACTGCAGCATGGTTCCTTCTGTTGCCGGTTCTCTGGCGGTCTGATTCACGGTTTTTTCACCGGTTTTTCAAAAAAGCCGGCGGTTCAATGGTTTTTTTGTGGTTCGGTCTTTTACCGGTCCGGTCTGGTCCAAATAACTATGGTTGTGTGCCATGTGTCCTTGCTGGGCCCGCACACGCTGATTGCTGTCACGTGGTCGTGATTTTTTATGCCCCTGTTTGGTTGTTTAGTTCAACGACTAGAGACTAAAAGAGGGACTAAATTTTAGTCTCCTACCCTATTTGGTTATAGGGACTAGAGGGGACTAATAAAATAAAAGACATTAAAACTGTTGAACAAAGACTAAAATATCATTCTTCTTTCTCTGAACTATTGAGGGGACCGTAATTATTGAGGGGCATGGGGTGTCAACTTAGTAGTCCCAAAAAACCTCTCCTGAGAGGACAACTCAAATCCACTTTAGTACTTTTAGTAGTCCATCTATTTAGTAAATTAGAACTAATTGGGACTAAAATGGCAGGGACTACTGATAGTCCTATCTAACCAAGCAGGGCCTGATGACCACTTGACTTCTAAGCAAAGCCGAAAGTGACCCAGGAGCCCATCAGTTGCGCCAGACCTTTCTCAGTGGATCCTAGTTAATCACAGGTACCCTTGTGAACCTGGACAGTGGATCCTAGTTAATCACAGGTACCCTCGTGAACCTGGACACGTCGACTGATTCACTAGGACGTGAACACAGACAGGTTCATCGCGGAGCGGATCGGACGAGCACAGCCCGCGTCCGGGTGCACTAGCAGTACAGCTCTAACCTGTCGTAAACGATCGTGGATTATTTACTGTCGACTGAATTAGTGTGAGAAAAAAATATTATTTCAGCTTATAATCCACGATCGTATACGAACAAGATTCCGATCTCATGAGTATTACATTATTTTGATGAAGTATTACGTTAAAAAATCATTTTGATAATAAAGTACTACGTTCCTAAATTATTTTTGATGAAGCCTTTATCCTCACCTACCACCACACTACCCACTTTCCACTGTGCGGGTAGTGGGGTACCGGCTAGCACACAAGCAGGCAGGCACGGGGTCCGCCGGTCTTTGTCATGTCTTCTAGAATTTTTTTTGAAACAAATGTCTTCTAGAATTTCAGATACTATACCCACACTCGTTGAACATTCTCGAGCCTGTCATCCGTAAAAGATTGACGAATTTCACTGTTGGCCAAACGCCGGCAACCACAGCCACCAGTCCGTCCTAGCATCGATCGGTATCGATGGAACCAGCTGCTAGGAGCATCTTCCTTTCCTATATATAGTGGTGTTTGATTCTCAATTCTCAGGTCCACAAATCGACAAGCTGCATCGATCCTGCACTATTATTGCCGGTAACTGATTGGCAATCAGGCCGGATAGATGGCGTCGGTGAAGAGCAAGATCCTGGTGGTCGGCGGCACGGGGTACCTGGGCAGGCACGTCGTGGCGGCGAGCGCGCGGTTGGGCCACCCCACCGTCGCGCTCGTCAGGGACACGGCCCCCGCCGACCCGGCCAAGGCGGCGCTGCTCAAGAGCTTCCAGGACGCCGGCGTGACGCTCCTCAAGGGCGATCTGTACGACCAGGCCAGCCTGGTGAGCGCGGTGAAGGGCGCCGACGTGGTCATCTCCACGCTCGGGTCGCTGCAGATCGCCGACCAGACCAGGCTCATCGACGCCATCAAGGAGGCCGGCAACGTCAAGGTCGGCCGGCCGTGTCCTGCTTGTTTTTAGGCTTCTAGCTCTTGTTCTTTCTTCCCCTTGCTGCACTGCAAGTCTGCAACTGCATATATGCGCTTGCAGAGGTTCTTCCCGTCGGAGTTCGGCCTGGACGTGGACCGCACGGGCATCGTGGAGCCGGGCAAGTCGATCCTCGGCGGCAAGGTGGCGATCCGGCGCGCCACCGAGGCCGCGGGCATCCCCTACACGTACGTCGTGGCGGGCTACTTCGCGGGGTACGGGCTCCCCAACATCGGGCAGCTACTGGCCCAAGGCCCGCCCACGGACAAGGCGGTCGTGCTCGGCGACGGCGACACCAAGGTGGTGTACGTGGAGGAAGGCGACATCGGGACCTACACGGTGCTTGCCGCCGACGACCCGCGCGCGGAGAACAAGACGCTGTACATCAAGCCCCCCGCCAACACGCTGTCGCACAACGAGCTGCTGTCGCTGTGGGAGGACAAGACCGGCAAGACGTTCCAGAGGGAGTACGTGCCCGAGGAAGCCGTGCTCAAGCAGATCCAAGGTTGGTTCTGGTTCAGTTCATCGATCCGTGGATGATCCATGGCAGTGAATAACGGTGTCCATGTGTGCGTGTGCAGAGTCGCCGATCCCGGTGAACATCATCCTGTCGATCGGGCACGCGGCGTACGTGCGGGGGGAGCAGACGGGCTTCGAGATCGACCCGGCCAAGGGGGTGGACGCCACCGAGCTGTACCCGGACGTCAAGTACACCACCGTCGACGAGTACCTCAACCGCTTCCTCTGAAGTCTGAACAAACAGGACGATGTGTGGTGTGGATGTCCTAATCGTGATTCGTCAGCTGCTACGGCTAGTCGCTAGCGTGCCTACCTTTTTTTTTCTTTCAGGGATCTAGCGTGCCTACTTGTTGTAATGGCCTCACCTTTTCCTGGATTCTACGCCAATATAATAAGAACCCTCCTTCGATCGGTTTGTTGCTTTCAGATTGACAAGGCTATCACAAGCTAGCGACTCGGTATATGATAGTATCTCCAACTAAATTAAAGGAATAGCCAAATTCAGTTAAATTTATGTCGGAAGTTTGACATTCAGGTGACGCTGGAATGCTACGTTTTCGGTACTTTTAGGTGCCGTTTGGTTCCGGGAATGGGATCATCCCAGGTGGGATATTCCACTCTGGTTGGTGTTTGGTTTGGAGTCATCCGAAGAAAGACGATTCTCGCTCCGTCGGCTCCGTCGCAAGCACGAGCGTGCGCTATGGGGAAGAAAAGCAGACCGGCACGGGTGCTGAAGAAGAAGAGGTCGGGGGTGTCTAGTCGCGGCCGCGCGCTGAAGAAGAGGTCCGAAGGGCCGCGCGCGGGCGGCGGTGGCGCGAGGGACCATAGGCAAGCAGCAGCGCCACGAGGGGCCGCGCACCGGCAGGCGAGCGCCGCGGGCCTCCGTTGGTCGCGCGAGCTTTGGGCAGTGTTGGGGACGAAGGGGATAAAAAGAAAAAAAAAACTGACAAATGGACCCCACCTATCAGTAGCTCATCCAAATTTTGATGTCTCTGTACAAACACAAGTCATGTTCTTTCTCAACCAAAAAGAAAATAAGGTCGTCATATCCCAAAAAACCGGTAATACTGTCTACGGGGCGTCCTTACGGACGGACGGACCTTCCTGGGCCTGCAACTGCACCGCACGACTTGTGGACCAACCATTTTTTTATTACCGTGCGCCCGCCGGATAAGGATAAGAAAAGAAGACCTCCCCTGCTCTGCTTCGTCCACGGTCCATGGCGTTCCCTTCCTTCCTTTCCTTCCCCAAAACTCTACCACTGCCACATCCACTACTCAAGCCCACACGCTCGCCAGACCTCCCTTGCCGCTCCTCATGCTCTGTCGCCCGCCCTGCCTGATGGCGCGGGCACCACCGTGCCCATGCGTGGGGACCACTTCCTCTGTCATCAGCGCCCGACGACGCCAACAGGCCCCGTCGGCGTAAAGAGAAGCGCCGAGCCCTAGCGTGGAAGACCTCCAGCCTCGCGCTCCTGCTACGGTTGTGGTGGTGCCCCGCTGCAGACGGCAGAGGAGGCCGCATCAGGATACATCGCATGTTGCATTTCATATGTTTTAGAGGTATGTTGCAAGTGTTTCATGTGGATGTTGCAAAAGTAGATGAAGATGATGCACATGTTGTAATGGCTATACATCTATGTTTCAAGTGTATGTTCCTAATGTTTCATCTATTTTAGACGTATGTTGCAGCTGTTTCATCTGGATGTTGTAAAAGTAGATCTGAATGTTGCATATATAGCAAGTGTTTCAGGTATTTTTATACGTATGTTTGCAAGTGTTTTCATCAGGATGTTGCAACGCTTTGCAATGGACACACATGCTTCCAAGTTTTTTCTGGTGTTTTTCAAGTGTTTCAGAGTATGTTGCAAGTGTTTGAGCTATTTCGAACGTATGTTGCAAGTGTTTCTTCTAGATCTTACAAAAGTAGATCGGATGTTGCACTTGTTTAATGGGACCCAACTACTGCAGGCGCCTGTTGTAGTTGCTGGGGAGCTACTGAGAGGGCGCCGCGTGTGGTCAGTCGGCGCGGGAGATGTCCGGGCGACGCAGGCCCCACCTTAGGCGCGCAAAACGAGCAGGTGCAGGAAACAGGGTGCAGGAAACGGACCAGCAGGCGCGGGCGTCCGGACACATGCGTGCGTCCAGACGCTAGCATCTCCGCCCACAAAACAGAGGCAAGACCATCCCATTACACCTAATCTTCCAACCAAACACTACCTTATTGTGTGGTCAAGACCAGTGAATGAAGTCCATCGGCCATATAATAGCGTCTCCAAGAGTTCTCAATAAAGCAATGAAATTTTTTTATCTCCAATAGTTCCCAATCCCACCTCCAAATCTTTCCGTGCTTGGAAAAAGACCGATCTTGCGGCGCGTGAGAGGTGCGTATCCATCGACCAATCTAAAGGTGAAAGGAGGTGGGAAAGAATAAAGAGTAAGAAAGGGTTCCTGATGCAAATGTATAAGAGAGAAAGAATATATAAAATTATTTAGGATAATTTAGTAATAGTATACGACTCTTGATGTAAAATTATCTTCTATATTTAGAAGTAAATTATTAGAAACTGTTGAAGATGATCTTATTTATTTCTCCTAATAATTTTTGGCGAGTTGGAAAGCTCTATGATTTTAGGAAAAAAATGTTGGGAACTCTCAAAGATGCTCTAATGAAAAGAAAATTAACCAAGGGGATAAACCAATAAAATACTCCTATATTTGTAGACATTTGTGTAAGGAAAGAGAGAGATTAAACAACTAACATGCAAGGAAAGGAGATATATTCATATCTCTACACCTAAAAAATCTCAAAGTAATCATCTACCTGGTATACCAAAAACGTATACTATCCGGTCACAAAACTACCAGAAAAACTATACCAAATACGAATACTATCTGGTGACAAAGACTAAAAAAAGCTATTCAAAAACTATACCAAATACGTATACTATCCTGTCACAATGACTAAAAAAAACTATCCGGTCATTGAAGGGCGCGTTTGCGAGGGTGTATCTCGCCGGCCTGGCCGGCTGGCCATGGCCTGGCCACCTTAGTCCAGTCCAAATGGTGCAAGTGCTCGTGTTTGTCATCGTGGCTCAACAGAGCCGAGCTCGATTGAGATCGTGTTTGTTGTGCTTATAAAATTGAATGCGGTGAACTTAGAGCGCGCCTCCAGCGCTCGAGCGAGCCGCTTCTGCGCTCGAGCGAGCCGTGCCGCCAGGAAACGAACCTCCACCTCGTTTCTCGGGAGCCATGAGAGAGAAGGCAAATTGCACGGCGACAGCCCGGCTCGCTGGTGGGCCCTAGCTCGCAAACATGAGGAGTTGCATGCGGAGGACGCAGCCCGTCCGTCGAGCCAAGGTCACAAACGCCCCCAAAAACTACCAAAAAAAACTATTTATAATTCTAGAGACACGTACGGGCTGGGCTAAACAGTTTAATCTCTCTACACCTAATAGGTTTCTGGAGGAATCGTCCATCTCCTGCGGAAATCTCCGGTCAAAAAGTCTAAAAAAAAACTAGGATCGGACTGAACCGGACCGGCCTGGAAGGCCGGAAAAAAATCTACCTCCATCCGGTAAAAAAAAACTCTAAAAAACAGATCGGACTCGAAAAAGTAATCCAAAAGAAATCTACAAAACAGATCATACTTGGGAAAGTAATCAACCGGACCAGAACAAAATTCCCGATAATCTTTTCTTATCTATCTACTCCTAAAAAGGCTCCGGAGAACCACAGGCAGAACAAAATCCTCGGTACCAAAACGATCTCTAACTCAAATTTCCGGTAAAAAATTACGAGTCCACCAAAAAAAAAACGATCGGACTCTGGTTGTGGGAAGGCTCCAGGCACATAAAAAAACTAACTCTAGGAAGGACTCGGCTCCGGGCACAATAAAAAGAGAAACACTCTAGGAAGGACTCTACGGTCGGACTAGAAAAAAAAATGATCATCCAAACGGACGCCTAATAAAATCTAGAAATCTACTTCCATCTATATTTGCGTTTGTGGCCTCGCTCCAGCGATCGATTGCGTGCCTCCTACAGTCGTACGTTGCATATCTAGACTAGAAAAAAAATACGATCATCCAAATGGAGGTTTGTCCCCCAAATAAATTCCGTTGCCTCTTGCGTGGAGCCGCAGAGAGAATGCGACGTGCCCCATCGCCTACAGGTCCATGGTTAGATCCGGTGATCTCACAAAAAACACGATCTAGTGATTTGAGTATAGTTGTAGGTTTGTTTGTATACGTGTGGTGTGAGTGTGGTGTGCGTGTGTAGGGTTGGTGTGTGTCTGTACATGAGCAGATACTATAGTTGTACCCAGATGAGAGGCAAAAAAAAAAAAGCTCTAGAAAAATCTACTTCCATCTATATTTGCGTCTGTTGTCTTGCTCCGTCGATTGATCTCGTGGCACGAACCGACAGTGATAACCCGAATATAACTGCCGATTCGTCCTATCACTGCCGATTTTGAGCCCGTTGGCCACTATCATTGCCGGTTTGGGCCGACAGCGAAAATCAAATCTGTAGTGGTGTTAGCTGCAACGAGTTTCTGTGCATGGGAACCAAGTACTACAGCGAGGGGTCATGGTGCGGGTGAATGGATTTGAACCAAATGCAAAATCATCTATTAACTTTTAATTATTTAAAAAATGATTAAATCCGTTATTGTAGGTGTGGACAAAAAATCATGGTCGCGGTGCAACGTATGGGCATGTATCTAGTAAGAGAAAAAGGAAAGTTAACTAGCTATGCAAAGAAACTAATCAATTAAAAGATAGAAATTGTGTGTTGGGAACATGAAGCAGCGAACGTGCGCTAAATAAAGATTGTGCTCAAAGTCTGGACTGTTTGTTGCCGCGATACTCTCACACGTTTGATTTGTGGGCTTCTTATACTATTGAGCCCGTGCCCCAGTAAGAGACACCAAGGTGCGTCCTAGTAAAGCATCCCGCCAGTCCAATATGGGATTTCCCTAGGCGGGCTTGGAACCAGCCCATGAGTAGCCAAGCAGCATGCGCCAGCCCGTGCAGCCGTGGACGGAGCGCAGCAGCAGCAAAGTTTGTATGCCTCCCTCATCTATCGTAAAAATCAGTTTTTCTTTCCTAAATTAGAAAATCGGATATAACTCCTCTCCTATCTTTTCAAACCGGACATATAACCTGCCTGGCTATTTCTCTAGATAGTTTTTCTTTTATTTTTTGCTGAATATTTGAAAAATTATTGTA